GGTCATCCTCAAGCTCCTATCCCGTTCCCTTCCTCCTCCCTTTTATCTAAAAGATGCCCACTTGCATTCTGGTTTTCTGCTCCTCTCCTGGCTACCACCCATGGAATATTAACCCTTTCTAGAAAAGAAAGGAGTCAAGTTTTTCTCCGGCATCTTCCAAAGGCAGGAGTACAGGGCTAGGTAGGGAGAGTAGAAAGGTGGCCCCTCCCTGACAGTTCTGGGTTGAATGTTTCCAATATGCCCTTGACCCGGGAAGGGAACTTGGGACTTCAGAAAGTCGCAAGAACCCCGCCCCCCCCCTTGGGTCATGGTGTCAGTAGCCCCTGTAGGGAACATGTGGGAGACCCTAGGCACTAAATACAGACTCTCAAGGGTCTGAGGATATCAGGCCCATTGGGCCTTCGCACTCAAGTGTAAGAATTGTCAGGGCATTTGTTAGCCCAGTTCCAGGGATGGATTCCAGTGGGTCTCCAAGGGACCCAGGAATCACATTTAAATTAGCTTACTGAAGGGCTGAGCTACAGGGGATTCACAGCATGCTTTGAGAAACTGAAATCAGGGCTCAACCCTAGAATGTTCCCTCCTCTGAGCAGCTGATGGAGGAGAATTGGAGGGAGGAGAAGGCAGTGTGGGGGATGGGGGTGGTGGTTGGGATTTCCTGGAGTGGATACAAACTCAGCCCAGATCTGCTGAGCCCTGCCTGACCCAGATGAGGGTCCACAGCTGTGTGTCCTGCCCAGCGATGTGAACATGCTGGGGAGGTCCCAGCCTTGTCCACAGCTGACAGACACTTCTGTCATGCTGGGACATGTAGGAAGGGAGCCTGGGGAGGGTGGGCTGAGTCCTGGAGTGTGGGCAGATGGACTCCGAGGTTATGGCAGAAAGCTCATGAGAGTTAGTGCAAATCCAGCCGTTCAGTTTCACCATCGGCCTGGCCAGGAGAGCCTTCTACAGTTACACTGAGATGAACTTGGAGAAACCCAGCTCCTCCTCAGACATCAGGGGCAGAGGATCTGGGATTGTGCTTTCCATGGGGTCCAGGGAAGGGGCTTCCAGTTCCTCTGTAGTCTGGAAAGACAAGAGTGGA